GCTTTGAGCCTTCATAATTCTAGACAGACTTGTCCTTGGCCACTGAAATGATTCCAGCTCGACAAAGAATGCGATGCTCGACAAAATACTACATCCAAACCGATGTTGGAACGAGAGGCTAGTAGCTTATAATGCCTGGGCTCCCGCACTCGTGGTGATCTGGTCTTAAAACGTGTGTGAGGGTATTCATGCGTCGTCGTATGTCTGAGGTCGCAAAAAGGTCGATTCCTATGACGTGGCACTCGGAGAAGGCTCCATTTGGGCGCAAAAGTCGCGTCGAGTAAAAATAAGTGTAAAAGCGAGCACGACAAAGGCGAAACGCAGTGCATTCACGAGAGAATGATAGCAACTGCGTGATCTGCTCATTTCGCTATTTGCGCTACAGGGCCTCGGTCGCACAACACCGCGTTGCTGGGAACGGCGGTCCCAAGCGGGCGTCCTGTCGACTGTGACAGTGATGCTCGTGTGACCGAGATCCTTCTTTCGCCACCGGTGGTAGCAGTAATATTTTCAGCAGCGTTGCGGCCATGCAGCGTCGGCACTACCAGCAGTACCTTGTTCTATGTGTATATGGGCGCGCAAGAGGCTCGCGGACCTGTCGCATCAGTATGTGCCGTGGCTGGTCGCAGCCATCGGCGCCATAGCTGAAGAAGGTCAGTGCTTCCGCGTTGTGCAAATATGCAAGTATGAGTTATGCAGTCGGTCCAGGCGCACCGACTGCGGCAACCTTGAGCGCATGTGCGAGGAGTGCGGGCCTTCTCGCGACGCATCCGGATAATGTCCGGATATCAACGGCAAACAGCATTTCCGAAATGGTCGACACATCAGGATAACGAGGTCGCGACGGTGCTGGCGTCGTAGAAGGAGCTGCACAAGCGCCGCGTCGTGACCAGAGCGCGCGCGCTCTCGCGGCATCGATCTCGGTGGCTACAACCTCGAGCGCCTCCAGCGTGACGTTCCGCTGCATGCACGCGGCAGCCAGCTCAGAGGCTGCAGGCAGCGAAACGACCCGAGACCGCCCACCGCGAACGTCTCGTCCCGGCAAGGAGCCTTCACGCCCGTCGCTGCGATGTGCACGCTGCGCTGAGGCCCGTCAAAAGCGCTCTGGCGCACCACGTGCGGAAGAGCGTCGTGTCCAACTAGGCGCTGCACTCGATCCTCGCGTGCACATCACCCTGCAAGCGCTCTCGACATGAACGTCGAGAAGCAATCGGTCGTCAGCTGCCTCGTCTCGACGCTCCAGGAAGACGCAGGCGCGGTGGCTGCGCTGATGGTCGACAGAATCGATCCGCATCTCGTACGCTGCGACGACCCAGACAACACGGCGTTCTTCAGCACCAAGCGCGCACTCTCCGGCTACTAGATGTATTGTGTCTGTAAATGTAAACTCCATGTAAATTATACACCTATATCGACGCAAACCGAGTGCGGCTATACAAGTGCTACGTGCTCCCCATCCTTTTGTACAACTGTGGCACATGGGCCCTCACGCCAACGAGTCTGGCGGGCCTCGACAGATCCCATCGCCGGCAGCTGCGTCGTCTTTGAAGTACCTTGTACCCGACGACACTCTCCGACTTGGTGGGTCGGCTTTTGGGTAGAATTCGCGCCATTGACCGCGAGTCTCGGGCAATATTCACGTTGAGAGTGCGCATTGGGACTGGAAACACCACCAACACCAACCTGCAAAAGTCGTCCAGTGTGAGAGCGTCGCAGGACTTCTTTACAAAGGACGTGGTTGTGTCTTATACGGTCTCCTTCCTTGAGCATGGCATGTGCCATGTAAAAGACCCCCATGATGGCGCAGATAGTGCATTCGGCATCACTTTGGACAAGCGTTTCGAGCTCTCTAGGCTACACACGATGGTGCAACTTGGGCTCCGTGCTATACAAAGCAAACTCAAACCCACTACAACGAAAAGCCATTCTGCATTTTGACCGAAGGTTGCCATCAAATC